CTCACAACTAAATTAAAAACGCGTAAGCTGATAGCAAAAGATTCAATGAGAGGGAACAAACACGGTTATGGACTGGTACTAGAATCTACAACTAGTCTAATCTCATCAAATCACTGTAAGCTCAAAATTTCAATTTCTAACAACAGAAACAAAGAGAACATCAAATATAATGCCTGAATTACACTGTTAGTACCGACATATAGTGACATAAATATCAATTATTATTTATTAGATAAACTTTTCAGTCGTTTGAAAATAAACTTGGTAGGGACATTCTAAGCAACATCTATAACAAAATTAAAAGAATATATATGTGATAGAATTTACATTATATTTCTGACGTTTATATTTGAAAATTGAAATTGTAATAACTGTCGCCATCCACTTGTGTATCTGATCAAATTAAAACTTAAATAATTATAAGTTCAATGGACAATTTTTAATAAACTTGAGGGACGTACACTCTAAGAACCTCAATAAGAAAATAAAAAAGAGATATTTACAATATAATTTTAAACAAAATACTAATGAGTATCTTGTCATTGCATATGTATTCAAAATATGAACAATTAATTAAAAACATTTAAATTATAAGATGACTATATATAATTTAAATAATTAAGTAAAAAAATAAAATCAGATTTATTATATAAAGATGGATAAGAATAATGTTCCGCTAGTTCTCAATCATCGATAGCAGTGCACTAGAAAACAATTTGTTCGACATATGACAGAAATAAAAGATTGAGTTTCATTGAGGACCATCGTATTGTTCTTGAACTGCATTTTTTCATATTTTATTTTATTTCAATGAAATTAAAGGTCAGATTGACTGTCTTAAAATTTTAACACAGCAAATAAATATTTTCTTAAAAAATGATAGATGAAAAATAGAAATAATAATCTTGATCTATATTTTAAATTGTCATTTTATTAGTAAACTTTTGATCCGAACCTTTTTATTTTATTTTATTAGTAAGTATAATAATGGTTTTAACTATCGACTCTACCGGTACACCAAAACTACACGGGGTACATATTAAATCCTCTTTAAATTGAGGATAGGCAAAATAGGTAAACTCCACAGTAAGCTGCTACGTTAGAAATGAGTTATTAATCGCTTTTTAAAATAACTCTTAAAAGAGTGATTAACAAAAAAAAATACTCTCTATAATAACTCTTGAAGTATGATTAACAAAGAAATACACTTTCAAAGTCTTTAACTTTTATAAATGAAATACACTCAACTTATTTTTTTTATTTTTTACGCTAATAAATTGATATTTTTTTCACATTTGTAAATATCTTTTTCACAATTCTTTCTATTATTTCTTTTTTTTTTCTTTATTAACAATGAATTATTCATTTATTCATTCATTTTTTATCTTTCTATTAACGATAAATTATCCCACTAATTTTTTATTTATTTATTTGTATTTGGTCTATGTAGATGTAGATTGTTCGGTTAAACACAATGTATAAACTCAAGATTTAATTTTAATTTGTGATAAAAATAAAAATAATTTAAATATCAGACCTATAAATTAAAATTTAAACGTAACAATAAATTAATTTTAGTTTGTAATAAAAAATCTCACAAAGAAATAAATTTTAAATTTCAGATTTGCAATTTAAACCCATAATTTACTTTAAAGAGCAGTTGTTTAACTACTCTTTTAACAATAATACACGTGTGAAATTTTAGAACAGTTCTAAATGTTTTCTAATTTAAAATATAATAACTCTTACATCTCCTTTTTAGCGTAGTGTCAATATAAATAACAAACTATAAACATTTTCTATAAAAAAGAGTTTCCTTTCTTGGTTCATTTTCATGAAACTTTACGCATTGTAAAGATATTTTTTGAAATCTTTTTGTCAAATAAGAATAAATTAACATGCTTAATGTAATACTTACATACAAAAAATGTTAAATAAGAAAAGCATTGCATTAGTACACAACGAATAAAAAAGAAATCAAAGTATATATGGTCAAAGGCAAATAAAATTTAATAAATTGATGGGGGCTTGACCAATTCTTGATGAATCTAATTAAGTTGTCGTAATAGTTTGGGTTTAGTTACTACAATCATAAGGTATGTTATTTTGGGGAGAATTTTTCTCATAATGGACCTGATTAGTGATGCAGTCCCATTAACAAAACCTTTGGCCCATAACTATAGAATCATCTGAAGAAAGTATTTGGAGGATACTTTTTGCTCCTCAATTGTTTTACTCCTTGCATCTTTTTTTCAATAGTTTTTTTTAGTTTTTATTTCTAAAATATCCTTAATCATAGAAAAACATTCTTATGATAAAATTATGCACAACAATAAAACTTACACACCAATAAAAAGAATTTGACAATAATACGAAAATTGTAATGTAAGCTTTTGAATAGCCCATGTTTAAGAATGATTTTAGTATATTACACAACATATAAATGGATACGATACTATACTAAATTGGGTAATCGAGTATATTACACAATGTATAAATAGATAAAATCTTTACCTACCATCCAATATTATAAATAAAGAAGGTTGAAGTTAAAGACATCTTCTCCATCTAAACATTATTAGGTGTTTATAAGCTTTTCATGTCTACACATAGAAGAGTGGACTAACAATACTAAAGTGATTTAGGATATTAACGATGGTTTAATTGAAAACCACAAATTTGATGACGAATTTATATCTAATGAAAAAAAAAACCACAAAATTTTTAGTTTATCAACATATCGAAAAGTTATATTTCAGAACTTAATTTTCATTGGATCATTATAACATGCATTTTGGAAATTAAGTTTCTTAGTATTCCAAAAACAGTTCAAGAAACTAAATTTTGAGGTAATATCCACTCCTTTTCGAAAATTTATTTTAAAAATTGTCTCTCAATGAATTCAAAAATAAATACTTGGAAGTTTACTCAATACACCACTATTTCCGACGCCAATAAAAAACAAGCGCCATAAGCATACTTGCCACAGAAGAACGAGGTATTTCTCAATGATTGAGTCTCAACAAATGATACTTAATAAAAAATGAAGCCAATAACAAACCTAGACGTGAAGAAAAATAGTATTTTCTTTTAAAAAAAAAAAAGAAAGACGACGACTTGCACAAAAAATAAGTGTTTTACGTTAAAAAAAAAGGTTAAAATACGATGTAATTAATGAACAAAAAAACGAATTAAAAAGTTAATGACCAACGTATCACCATTCCTCTTCCACCAATTGACATACCATAGTCCCCTTTCCCTGACCAATATTCAATCAAGTTTGATCTACACGCTCTATAAGATTTTTTTACAACACTAAAATTTAAGCAATAATTAAAAGTTTTTTCTATTTGTGCGTTAAAATGTATTGTAAAAAATTAATAAATAATAAAATCTATTAAAATAATAATAATAATAATACTATTATTATTATTATTATTATTATTATTATATTATATTTTTATTTCTTAATAAAAATTATTATATATATACGTTCATGTTATATACCTTGAATATACATTAAAAAAATCAATAATCAATTGCGTATCTTATAATGTACATTAATTAAAATATTTTTACACCATAGTTATTATTTTCTTACACATAAAAATGTGTTAAATAATATTTTCTCACTGCATTACTATGTGTTGTTATTCTAACAACAAAATAGGGCAAAATTTAAATGTATTTGCGTTATTGTTTTTAGTAAAAAAATACAATTTTATTTTAATAATTAACATAATAAAAGTAAATATTAATTTTAAAATAAAATTTTAATATAAATAAATTTTTTGACATTAATTAAAAATAAATAAATAAATAGTAATTTTTTATTAAAAAACATAATCATAAAAATTAATGCATTGTAGCATTGAATTTCTAATAATATATATATATATATATATATATATATATTTTGCTATTAAAAATTTATATTTTTTATCCTTAAGTAGCATTCTAAAAATATGAATTTGCATTTTTCATTAAAATGTGATACTGTAAATACAAAAATTTTCATTAAGATTTTATAACAACAACAATAATATATAATGTTAACTACTATTAAAGCACTAATTAAGAAATTTAAAGTGCACTTTTTAACACAATATAATACAATTTTTAATAAAATGTTTATTTTAGTTTTTTATAATAGAACTCTTTCAACAAAATCATATTTATAGATTAAAATTTTTTAAAAAGTAGTTAATGTATTATTTTTAAAAATAATATTTTAAATTTATTTTTAATTAATATTTTATTATATTAATTGTTGAAAAACAATAAAATATAAATAATTATATATAACCAAATGTTTCTAAAAATATATTAAAAATAATAAAAATATATAAAACTATTCTATAAATGAATTAAAATTAATCTTTTAACAAATATCCTAATAATACCTGTCACCAAGAATAATAATAAATATGCTGGACTTTGAATCGGCTAAAAATAATGTACTTTTCAATCTTATGATTTTGATGTCATGATAACAAAAAGTTAAAACTGAGATTCACCTACACACACGATCATGAATGTTAGTAACATCTATTATTGTATTTTTACATTAAGACAAAAATTTTATATAAACTACAAATTAATCATTCTGTTATATTTCATTAAAATTTTAATCATTCATTGTTTACTAATAGTGTTTATTTATTTAACTTTTCAAATAATTTAAATTATTTAATAAATGAAATTAATAATTAATATAATTTAAAAATTTATATAAATATATAAAAACATTTTTCTTCCTCTTCTAAAAAAAAATATAAGAATAATGATATAAAAAATATATAAGAATAAAATAATAAAAATTGTCATTCTTGATTTATATATTTTGACAAATAGTAACTAGTATATTCTTAGGATATTATTTAAAAAATTATAAAAATACCTTTTTTTTTGCTAATATATAAAAATACCTTTATCATAAAATTTAATATAGATTTTAATAAAAAATATATATCACAAGTTAACAACACCCATGTATTTTCACAATTATCTTCAACGAAACGAAATTTTCCGAAACGTTCCGAGGTTGGATGGCCAGGATGGATCAAGAACTAGAGGGAATCAGAATCACCGTGTATCGTAGTCCACGTGAAAGAAGAATCCACGCATCCAAATGAAAAGGTACTTGATTCCGCCACGTGTCCTGGGAGGTGGATGCGTAGTACGAGTTGCAGTGAAAGAGAAGGCAGAGGAGGACGAAGAAGAAAATCAGAGGAATGACGACGATGAATGTGGTGAGTACGTTAATGTTGACTCGGTTACTGACTCGGGACCAACTCGCTGGCCCTGAAGGCATACCCTTCGGATCGGTATGGTGGTTCATCTATGCCGGAATATCCTGTTTCCTCGTCATTTTCGCCGGAATCATGTCCGGTCTAACCCTAGGTCTGATGTCTCTTGGCCTCGTCGACCTCGAGATTCTTCAACGCAGCGGTTCTCCTTCCGAGAAAAAGCAAGCAGGTTTTTCCTCTCTTATTGTTCCTTCTTCGATTCCATTTTCTCTTTCTTCAGCCTTGCGCGTCGTTGAATTTTCGTTTAATCTTATCGGATTACGAAGTTTCGAGCAGACTGTCGTGAACGTGCTTTTCTTTGTTAGTTGTAGAGTTTGTATCTAAGATTTTGTGCCTGTGTGTGTGTGCATGCAGCGGTTATACTACCTGTGGTTCAAAAACAACATCAACTTCTCGTGACTCTGCTTCTGTGTAATGCTGCTGCCATGGAGGTAATTGGATTGCAATGCTCCTTTTCGTATAAATTTTTATTTCTCAGTTAGAATAAGGTGCGTTTTTTTTTTTTAGTTGGAGGATAGGTTGTTATAACTCAGTGAATTAATTGTGTTTCGTACGATGGTTTTAGAAATCACTCAGGAGTGAGGACTTCTATTAAGATAGCTTCTTACAGATAGTTGTAGGGGCATAACTTAAAACAATGCTGTGTAGCTGAGTGGTTGTATGAGTATTTGTGCTTGATATTGTGTTTATTGATTATGCTTGCTTACAGTTCATGCTGATTCCTAAATCATGCCTAACTTTTAAACAACTGTTGAGTTTGAAACTTGCAATTGCAGGCCCTTCCGTTATACCTAGATAAGCTGTTCAATCAGTTTGTTGCTATCATTCTCTCTGTGACATTCGTTCTGTTTTTTGGGGAGGTATGTGACTGTGCTATCTTTCATGTTTTAGCATCAATTATTGTACCCAATGAATATTTTGAAGTCCTTTTTTACATCCTGTCGTGTCTCTCTTCTCTTTAAACTATTGATGCCTCTTTGGTTTCAGGTTATTCCACAAGCAATTTGTAGTAGATATGGCCTTGCTGTAGGTGCCAACTTCGTATGGCTTGTGCGAATTTTAATGATAATTTGTTACCCAGTTGCTTATCCCATCGGAAAGGTGACTTATCATACCTAGGTTATATTACCAGTCCTTTCTTGCATATGAACTGTTGATGTGGTTGATTATGCATTAACCAGTAGGAGTGATATTTATTTCCACTCTATTTGATAACCAATATAATATAATTAAGTAGAGAATGAAAAAGTGAAAATTAATAGCATATCATCTTATGATGTTTCCATGAAAGCGGAAACTTCCTGAAAATATGCATTTGGTTTATGGGCTTTTTCTAGTTTTGCTTGGTTTAAAAGAATGTGTCAGTTTGTTAGAAAATGAGCAGTGCCATATGCATGCCCTTTGGCTGAAAACTAGGCATCAGTCTTTCTAAGTCAAATAACCCCTTCAAAATGTTGATGTCATAACTTATAGAATGATCATGCCACAAGTTTTCTTTTTCTCACTGATATTTGTTCCAGGTTCTAGATTGGCTATTGGGGCATAATGAGGCTTTATTTAGGCGAGCTCAATTAAAAGCTCTTGTCTCCATCCATAGCAAGGAGGTATAAAAATAATAAATAATTACTATTGTGATTTAATTGAGGAACCTGTCATGTAAAAATTGGTGAAATTACCCAGATATTGCCTTTATAGTCACTGGTGTTTGATTCATAAATTTTGAATTTTCTTGTTTTCAGGCTGGGAAAGGCGGTGAGCTTACACATGATGAGACAACAATTATTAGTGGAGCTCTAGATTTAACTGAAAAGGCAAATACCACATTTTGCCTACAATATATTTGGATGTCAACTTATCTATCTGTTTTTCATTATATAACAGTGCAATACAATTTGCAATTTATGAGATTCAATGCATCAGAGTTTGAAGTTTCTCTCCTATTTCAAACCATATTGATGGGATGAAATGTGGAAACATGGCACCGGTTGCTTAAAAAATCATCTTATTTTTTAAATTATTCTTATGAGGTCTATCAAAGTATCAATCCTTAGCACAAATTTTCCTATCCACTTCCAGTGATCTTGTGTTCTCCAAATAATATAGTGTTCTTCATACTTCAGTTTTCTCTGTATTTTACCTCATTGTTAATGATCATGCGGTATTATTTAACTTGTGAAAGGTATATCTTCTGTATCCTTTTTGCAGTGTACTTGTATGAAAATTTCCTTTCTCCCCTTATTATTTTTATCTTTGGCCAGACTGCTGAAGCAGCTATGACTCCTATTGAATCAACTTTTTCTTTGGATGTTAATTCAAAATTGGACTGGTCAGTATCTCAACGCAGCTTAGTTTTTCTTCATTAAATTTATTCATTTGGTTTGAACTTGTGTTTTATTGTTCTTTTTTTTTTTTTCACTTGCCTGGGGTTAAATTATTTCTTGTATTAATAATGTACTGTAAATATTATTCTTGCAATTATCAAATGTGGTTCTTTCATTACAATGTAAATGTTTCTCTTGGGATAAATATTTGAACTTTGAAGCATTCTTCCCCTGCCATGAAGTTCATTCTTATCTTGTTGAGTACTTCCTGTCTCATCGTTTTAATACCTGAGACACACACATGCACACACACACACACACAGTAGCCACAGGTATATCCACCCTTTTGATGAGCTGCAAGTTTGTTGAGGAAGTGTGAAGTGTTGGATGGGCAGACAAAGTTGAGAAAGCATAAAAGAAGACCAGATGGACAAGATGCTAGAAATCTAATATATGGATAAACCAATTTGAGATTGTAAGGGCACAATGTTGGAATCCGTAGACAATCCACAATCATTCTTTAATGTGCATGTTTCTGTTCAGACAAATGTTTGACATATAGCCTCAGTTATACCCTTACTATTTCCTAACTGGGTTGTTTGCTCATATGCCAGACAATAAATCCTCCTCATCAATCCAAAACTGATTGATGATGCATCATCGATATCACTGAAAACATGGAACTTAGAGACCATAGTATGAACTTTTTATATTGTTGATTTACGTTTTAAATTATCTATAGGCTATAGCATGCAAATATTAATCAATTCAATTGACAGTGGTTGGTTTAGTTGGCAGTTGAATAACATATTTGGTCCCACAGTGGATGGTATTCTTAAGTATGTTGTAAATAGTTTATTAAATTTTGTTTGGAAAATGAATCTTCAATTGGTAGTGGAACTCATTTGCTTACTATACAAGGATTTTTTGTTTGCTGAAGATATATTGGGAGTAGAATTCTTGGTTAGAAGATACAAAATATATGTGTTCACCCTTGCAATTTTATATCCCTTAAACCTATATTATGTTGTGAATCTTAAATAAGGGAGGCAATGGGTAAAATTCTTGCTCGTGGGCACAGCCGAGTTCCTGTCTATTCTGGAAATCCAAAAAATGTTATTGGGCTTCTACTGGTGGGTGTTAAATCTTCACCATTTTGACTTTATTTTAGTTTATCCCTTTTTATTACTTTCTAAATTCCCTCTTCCTCACCTGAATTCTTTTTAAATTAGGTCAAAAGTCTTCTCACTGTACGACCAGAAACCGAGACACCAGTCAGTGCTGTTTCCATCCGGAGAATCCCACGGTGTGTTTGTTGTAAAGGATTAACTCTCCTAGAAGCTTAAGTTGTTAACTGGAGTCACATTACTGATTTTTATCTTTATCACACACCTTTCTTTATGCAAAAGCCCTTTGGCCTTGAAGCAGGGCAATACACTGGCTCAATTTATCTGATGCTGAAAATTAGTTTAATTAAGAATTGGGGTGTTAAGGATTAAGCTCCTTCCTTACCATTTAGTCATATAGCTCTACCTTGTGAAGGACCACAAAGTCTTCAAAGCATAAATGATTAGGTAGAAGCACATGAATGGTTTCATGTCTTTAACATTTGATTTTTATTAATTTATACTCTTATTATTTTAAAAAAATTAATGTCAAATATCAGTAATTTGTGTAATGGTTTATATTACATATAGAGTTCCAGCAGACATGCCTCTCTACGATATACTGAATGAGTTCCAAAAGGGCAGTAGTCATATGGCTGCTGTTGTTAAGGCCAGGGGAAAAGGAAAAACAAATCATCAAACAATTGATGAAGAGAAATACGAAGAAAACAAAAGGGATGGTGGAGATTCACAGTTGACTACTCCATTACTACATAAGCAGGATGAGAAGTCAGAAAGTGTTGTTGACATTGACAAGCCTTCAAGGCTTCCCAGCATTAGTAAGCTAACTGATTTTCAACGTACTGATTCCCCAACAAATGGTTCCTTTTCAGAAAATATTGAAGATGGGGAAGTGATTGGTATTATCACTTTGGAAGATGTATTTGAAGAACTTCTGCAAGTAAATTTCAGTAATTTGAGATATTTTCTGATTCTCAATATTGCATAGTAAGTCAATCCTTTTATCCTAATTGATTGTATTTGTTTCCAATGGTGCAGGAGGAGATTGTGGATGAGACAGATGAATATGTTGATGTTCATAAGAGGTAATGAAGAATATATACTTTCAAAACTTACTCTGAAAAGTTGGATGAGACTGCTGCAAATCTGAGTTTGAATGTTGTTATCTATATTATTTTATGTTGCAGAATACGTGTGGCTGCAGCTGCAGCTGCTTCCTCAGTTGCACGGGCTCCGTCAATCCGAAGGTTGACTGGCCAAAAAGGAGCAGTAAGCAATCAATTATTTCACTTTTTTAAAAATGATTTTAATGTCTATTTATTGCATGTTTGCCGGAGAAATCCATTACTTTCTGCATCAATTGAGAAAAAGTTTCTGTTTGAGAGGACTTGGATACTGCATCTTCGTTTCTCTTTGCATGGCCTACTTGTCAAATTACTGTAAATGATATGGTACGGTATTGGTACATGAACATGAATTGAAATGATTTATCTTGTCTTAAATAGCATATTTTCTTCCGTTAAATGCTTCAAGATAAAGTAGAACAGAGTAATTAGTATGAATTTAACACTGTTATGGGTGCAATGCTGAGATTATTGGTACCCAAATCAAATCCCCTTTACCACCATGTGAAATTTATATTCCAGAAGGGAATTACTTTTCTCATAGTCATACTTTTCTTAACTTTCACACATATTTTCTTAAGTTTATTCAAGGATGACCTTTATGGACTTACAATAATATTAGTTATATTCATGAAATGAAATAATACGTTCAATAGGAAATTGAATTGAAAAATTCAGCGGTGAAATACTCCCTTTTGTGTGATCATATGTGATGAAAATGATATGTGAATTCTCAACGGCCATTAGATTATCAATGTAATAGGGAACCAGTGGATTTTTTTAATAGTCTTTCGATATTGAGATAAACTGCTTAGTAATTTCAATGCCGAGTTAACGTGTGATTTTTTTTGTATTACTTTTCTATTCGATATAACTCCTAGGAGTGGTTCGGCTTTCTTTTCCTCTCTCTTTACAGATATAGTTTCTTTAGCCCCAAGGGATATGGGATAAGTTATGTATATCGCAAATTTCAAAGATTCTAAGCTGGAAAATTGAAGTTTGAGAATGCTTTAATGTTACCTGCTTGAAAGCTGTATCTGTAAATCCTGCATAAATGCTCGAACTTTTTTCAAAAAATAATTCTGGTCTTTATTTTAATCATGCAGGGAGGCCAAAGTAAGTCGGGACTTACTCCGAGGAAATCTGCAGAGGAGGATGGATTGAATACAAGGTTGTGAGCTCTCTATTCTATCCGGAACAATTATTATAATGAGGCTAAGTTTATAAAAGGGAGTTCATACAAGGGTGATAAATGTCACGTTTAATGGTGAATATTTTATTCCTTTTTCTCTCACATAAAAGTGATTTTTCACTCTTCATTTCCATTCTATAAAGTTTTGTTTTTCTTGTATTCTAATTCGAAAAGGTTCAAATTTTATTCGTGACTGATGAAGTACATTTTAACTGGGAGCAACATTATATAAGGTACCCTCTCTTTTTAAATTCATTCAAACGAAATTATGCTTATTAATTAAACATTTGTTTTCTTATTTTCATACGAATATTAATTATTTTTTATTATATTTATGTACTTTATCATTGTGAAATTGATTGATGAAGTACAAATCCAATATAAACTTAAAGCACATTCTATATTTTATACACTTAGAGTTGTATTAAAAGATATTTATGTATTTTTTTTTAAATTAACATCTCTTTTTCAAACAAGATTAACCATGACAATTGTTTTACTTCGAAAAAGTATTTTATACGTTCTTAATTTATAAAAATACTATAGAAACTACTTACTTTAAAACAATTTTGTTTAAGACTATTTTAAAAATACTTTCGCTCAAGAATTTATCTTAATTTCTACATGTAAAGTCAATTGCTATCCCCTCTCTTCAAACTTCATGGTTCATTCCCTAGATTCTAAGTCAAGAGTACTCTGTCCATTTCAAACAAATAAAAGGAAAAAAAATAAAGTCGGAGATGTTAATTTTAGTTTTTTTTTTAATTGTAACTTTTAGTATTTTTAGATTCAATACTTTTAATTCTTCTTCTTCATCATCATCATCATAATAATAATAATAATAATAATAATACAGTTAACTTAAAGGTTGTAATGTGTTGATTAAAAAAAATTATAAAAACACGTTTAATTTCTCACCTTATATAATTCCACATTTAAATTTTATATTTAAACTTTTAATATTATACCAAATAATTATAGAGAAAAATACAGTCTTTTTTTACCTTGCTTACATTACACTCTTATTTTAAAACATACACTCCTCTCTCTGAAAGATAAATATAAATTTCACTTTAATCATTTTCAAAATAAAAAAAAATCTTAACAGGGAGAAATAATTATAAAAAATGTAAGCTTTTTTATTTTTTCATCAAGGAAAAAAATCATCACAATAGAAAAATTCTCTGTAAAAAACTTAAAATGGACTCAAATGGAATATATATTTGAAAATAAGATGAAAGAAAAGTGTAATGGCATCTTCTTTTAAGGGAAAAAAATATACTTTATTCTTTATTATATTCTAATTTTAAGTTTTAACATTCAAATAACTACGAAGTATGTTAAAAGTAACGTCAAAAACGTAAGATTCAAAAAAACAAATAATTACCTGGTAAAAGAATCAGTAGTAGCCTGTAGTCAGAGAGTAGGCTTCAGTGGTCATAGATAATTTTTTTTTAATTGATTTAGAATACATCAATTGACTACACCGAAAAAATGAATTCAATGCAAAAATTATATCTATTAACATTAAAAAAAATGTAAATTTATATCCATTTAAACGCAAAATTAAACATCCTGCGCTGTGACTCAAGGTTTGTGATGGGATATTTTACGAGACAGTATGCCATGAATATCGTCGAATTGTCATCGCAACCCCACTTGCAGAGGGGAGTGTTGAGTTACTTGAGTCGTGCTATATCGTTGTTTTCTAATTTAGTAAAATTTAAAAATATAAAAAATATTTAAATTTAAATAAAAAAAATAATTTAGATTTAAGTGAGAAAGGAAAAAAAGGAAAAAGTAAGTGATTGAGATTTGAGATGAGAAAACTTATTGTAAAAAGAAAAATTCAAAAGTAAGTAAAATTTAAATTTGAAGGGAAATGAAAAAAATTAACATGAACAAAAAATTAACAATTTTTTATTTTTTAAAAATAAAAATATTAAATAGAGATAAAAACATGTCGTATGAAAAAAAAAGTATATTAAAAGATTTTTCCTCTTTAGCCTAAAATTTATAATACAAAAGTTGATTGTGACATGCTGGACAAGAGATTATGCTCTTTATAAATTATGTATGCATAGATAAAATAAACAAATTTTCATATTTGTTATTATAACCTGTTAATAGGTATAAATTTAATCGTTTGAATTAGTATAATCATTTTTAAATTTCTTATTTTCGTATTAAAATGAAATAAGAAAAAACTCCTGGCAAACCGCTAAACATGTAAATTAATCGATGGGGAACTATTCTACGTTAATTAACGGTTTCAAGTTTGAGTTGATAAAAATAGTTACAATAAAAATTTCAAAAGAGAATTTTGTTATTCATAATATTATACGAGACTTAATTTAAAGTAGTCGAATGTTTAATGGTTATAAAAAATGAAAAAGGAGTAGTATGTAGAGATTTTCTTACAAAAATATTGACAACGATCATAACTTTTCTCGTCAATTAAAATGAGAACTTACGATTACAAAAGTTGGTCAAGCGTCTAGAAAAACACCAAAATGTGTGTACAAAATCATCTTGTGTACCTGCCTCCACTGTAGTCTACTCTTGACTCCTGGCCCAGAATAGAAGAAAAAGAAAAACCCAAGCAACTTTTGACATTGTTACAGTATATCTTCAATCCTAGAGTCACTTGGTTGAGTTGATCATGTGGAAAACTTGGTAACCCATGATGTCTTTGAGCATAATCAAAAAGCTCAAGACATGCCCATTTCATAATCTTTCACTTAATTATCAGAAACCCATCATCATAATCGCTCCTGCCACCTTAGAAGAATCACTACGCACCTCCATATGATATAAAATCTGATTTTCTGCTCCTGGAAGTGCCTGGAACACCGTTTCCATACCTGAGACTTCGCAAATCTCAATGACAAGAAGTGTCCTGCCATGCTAGAAATGCCTAGACAACAAAGATGTTTAGATCCTTGGAACTTAATTTGATTTGTATATATAGAAGATGGTGGTGGAGAAAGTGTGAGAATGAGTAGTAGGTGTGACATGAATGGCCTTAAGAGTGGAATCAGAGATGCCAAAGTGGTCTCTGTCACATTGACCCCTTGTCAAATCACCCTTGAAAAAGACTTGCTGCAATTCATCCTAATAGGAATGGCCAATCCTGTCCCTGTCTGTGTTAGCCTATAAATTATTTACCACCTCTATGACTTTATTATGTAGTATATTCGCTTAGTAAGTGCATTGGTGCCTTATCATCCTTCCTTTGCATGTATTCTCTTAGTTTTGATTATTTTCCAACCAAAAATATTTTATTTATTATGAAGAGCTTGATCGCATATTCCAGCAAGGATTTCACCTGTGACACAAACACAAAGAAATGTAGCATATACTAGTGAAGTTGTAAATCACTATTAATAATACTATGTTTGAGGTTCTAATTATACCCTTAAGAGGAACACTAACCTTTTTACAATTAAGAATCCTGTCTAAGCAGCATTATTTTCTGCTGGAATTAGTTTGTTTTTAAACATATTCAAGACTTGAGACAAGACACAAGCGAGGAATTACACCAAACAGGTTCCTTTGAATATATTATTTTTCATTTGTATGTTTTTGAGACAACACAAACATACACTCAACAGAGAGTTGCTCTAGGGGACTAGGTGGCGGGGGACCGGAGAGAGAAAAAGCGAGAGTGGGAGAGAGAAACTTTACACTTATGGGTTGATTTTCAAGCCTCAAGTACACTTTGAAAATGTTAGATACAAAAGATCTTGATTGCTAATTTACAACAATCAAATAGAGTAATCCATTAAAGTAGATACACACAAGCACCTGTTACCTAAAAGCTAATTGAAAGTACTTAAAAAAGTGCTCTTGGCTAAGAGTACTTATGCCAATTAAGAAGCAGAGAAATACATATCCTCATGATATAAAACTTCCCCCTTTGTTGCTGGACGATTCTCCTCCACTTAGCATATCTTCTACCCATGTTCTTCTTTAGAAGTTTCTAATTGCATTACAACTAAATGGCTAGGCACACTATTTATTGAAATTAAAATCCTATGTGGCAGGAGATAATATGCTAATTGGATTCACATTTAGAATTGAAATGCCTCATCCAATGTTAAGGCTCCACTTGTACATATTGGACATCAATACACGTGTCTCTAAATTCAGCTCAAATGCATAGTTTTTTAGTTAAATCATGCCGGCCATGGGGATTGTCGTTTCTCTGAAAACGATTAACAAGTACAAAAACACCACCCTTATCTTAAATAGTAGCTAACTCACATCATTATCCTCTCAAACATCAAGGGTCTCTTTAACTTCCATCTTCAAGCAGTTCAAATGAGAGACACATGCGAGGGCTTGTTTTTTACACAAGCCTTGTGGATGATTCCAAATCTTCACGTGAGCAACACACCATGCAACCCCATGAGTCATAATGGGTAGCTGATGAGTTTGTTCTTCCTCAAACGGGTCAAGCATGTGACTTGTAAGATTGTCAAATAATGTCTCACTGTTTTTGAAAAGATTGGCAAAGAAACGCTCCCATATCTTATCTTAAAGCAAAAAGTATCAAAGATAAGATCTTTTGTATATATAACTAATATTTGTGGACCTAAAAGATTAATCCATTGATGTACGGCTTTAATGGGTCCTAGTTAAATAGCCATGGTGAAACTTGAGCCACTTAGAGAGGCCTAGGTACAGTGCTACACTAATGAGGTAACATACATGGAAGCTAGTTGCTGAAGGGTAAATATCAACCATGGAGACATGTTATTTCAAAGGCTTGGAATTTAGTGCTGTTTTCATTTGAAGTGAAAGAAAAGAAAGCTCCAGGCTGGTGGCAACTCTTACTGTGCATTCAATCTGTTGGCTGTCTTGTGAAATGCAATAATGAGCACAAAGTTAGATGATCTCTGTAGTTCAGGATGTGACTAACTGAGACCACACAAGAACAGTGTGTCTACATTCCTTTTTAGATAAAGCGTCATGTAAATGAGTTTTAATCTGTGTGTCAGGAAAACTGGTTACCAAAGTGATAGAGAAATATGCTTTGCTCTTGAGCTAGTTGAGTGTTACTTTCAGGTCCCATTGAAAATGGAACGCATGAAGAAGTCGACATGGAACTGAATAATTTACCACAAATAGAAGTCCTTCAATTTAGTGAGAGTCTTTGACACAAAGATAAGGTTTGTTACCTTTTGACCAATAGTTCACAGGATTAAACTCTAGGAATAGCCTTTTTATTTGGGAGGGTAAGACTATGTTTATATATCTACTATTCCATACCCT